CAAATGTGAAGCAAAATCAAAACAAAGGCTAATTTGAATCAAAACATAAAAGAAATATAAAAGCAAAACAAAAGAATGTTAATGATTGTGGATTTAACGGCGAATCAACGTTGCGATTATACTTTAAAGTGGAAAAGCTAATAAATTCTGATTTTGTGCCCAACTATGAGGAGTAAAAACCACCATGCAGAAATCTCTACTTTGCCGCTGTCATCTTATGATATATCTATTTTTGGATTTGTGCCGGTAAGTGAAAAATTGTCTTATTTCTTTATAATAAAAAAAATATTTTTGGGAGAAAATGAATCTATGGGCTCGTAAGAAAAATATATTTTTTTCGTGAATAATTAATAAACATTAATTTTTTTGCTGGTGTTATTCATATCATGAGAGGACTTCTTCTGTTGTTATGGGATGCGAAAAAAACATTTCTTATTGTTTCAAATCTTTCACGTGGAATACTCCTAAGGATTTCCCTCTCAAATCCTCTATTTCATAAAGACAATTTCCAATTGGTCGAACAATCCTGCACTTTAGAAATTTAGGTCCAAGTTTAGCGTTAAAGTTCCTTTTGAAGTCACTTTGCTGAAAGCTACGACGATATATCTCCTGCCCCGGTATAAATTTCACATTCCTAGATCGCACGTTGTACTTTTTTTCATTTATTAGGTATGCTCGGTGGAGATTTTCTCTTATTTTCTCTCTGAGTATTTCTAATTTTATTGTTTGGGGAAGGACATTGGCCTCCGGATCCTGCAGAACCTTAAGCTTTCGCGCTAGAGCATATACGCTACCATGATTCACCATGTTCATTCCAAAAAGGGCGAAATATGGAGTGACTCCTATTGCGGAGTGAACAGATGATCTCAAAGAACACTCTATCTCTGACAAATATTTATCCCATTCTGTCTGACTATCCTTTAAGTATGAACGTATGGCTGATAAAATGCTTTGGTTGACTCGTTCAGAAGAGTTAGCTTGTGGCGAATGAGTTGCTGTACGTGAGAGATACCAAAGTTTGTCATAAGGTCCTCAAATTCCTATGCTACAAATTGTTGTCCATTATCTGAAATTAGTACTTCGGGTGTACCGAACTTGTGAAATACCTCTGATATGAGGAATTTAATCACATTTTTAGTACTGGCTTTATTCATAGCCTTAAGAAGAACGTACTTGCTAAGATGGTCAAGGACAATGAAAATATAAGTGTTGCCGGCCTTTGAACGCGGATAGGGACCTAAAAAATCTACAAAAATTCTTTGAAAAGGTCTCTCCACATTGGCTTCTTTGCCCATGGGAGGACGTAGCGTTATGTTGGCTGATTTAGACTCTTTACATACTTGACATTTAAGGACGAAATCTCTAACTTGCTTATTCATAAGAGGCCAATAAAAATACTCCTTGATTCTTTTTAGGGTTTTATGAAAACCACCATGTGCGGCCACAGGGAGACAATGGGCCTTTTCGATAATTCCATTGGTTAACTCCAATGGAATCCACAATTTCCAAGCGAAATCTTCATTGGAAGGTGAGCCGTCGTAAAATTGTGTCCTTTTGTAGACAAATCCATCTATCACTTTGATATCTGGCAACCGATCTGCGTTCTTACTGACGTTATCTATAAGATCTTTATAGTCCTCGTTTTGAAAAGCTGATGAAGAAAGGTCTATTAAAGCATCTACATTTACCGATAACTCTTCCATATCGTATCTTGACAGCGTATCAGGTACTACGTTCATGGACCCTTGGCGATGTTCTATATCGAAGCTAAATGACTGTAAATGAAGACTCCATCGAGCCAATCGCCCACTTAAATCTTTATGTAACATTAGCCACTTCAGGCTACTATGGTCGGTAATAATTGTAAATGGCATAAGCTCGATATAAGGGCGAAATTTCTTTACTGCATTAACCACTGCCAAGCACTCTCTCTCCGTGACTGAATAATTCTTTTGTGCCGATGTGAGCTTCTGGGAATAGTAAGCAATGGGATGTTCCCCTCCTTCGCTATCTTTTTGGAATAGCACTGCTCCGATTCCCAGATCAGAAGCATCACACTGCACATAAAAATGTTTAGAAAAATCCGGATGAGTCAGGACAGGGCTAGTGATTAATGCAGTCTTGAGTTTTTCGAAAGCTATCTTTGCCTCTTCAGTAAAATGGAAAACTTTTCCCTTCTTTAAGGTATCGAAAATGGGCGCAGCGATCATTGCGTAATTTGGTATGAACCTACGATACCATCCGGTTGCCCCCGTAAAGCTGCGTACCTGTTTCGCGGTTTTTGGGAAACAAAAACGAGTTATTGTCTCAATTTTTGCTGGGTCTGGTTTGAGTTCACCACCTCCAACGATGTAGCCTAAATATCTTAATTCCTTGAAGCAAAACTTAGATTTAGCTACATTTATGGTTAGTCCTGCTTCAGCTAATAGATCGGCAACGCGCTTCAGCAACTCCAGATGGGTTTCGAAGTCTGGCGAAACCACCAAAAGATCGTCCAGGTAAACAAAAACGCGGTCCCGCAGCACCGAAGGAATCACTCTATCCATTAGACGCACAACCTTTGGGCCGCATTGCACAACCCAAAAGGCATGACTGTAAAATGGTAGAGTGGTCTTCCCGGTACTGTGAAAGCCGTTTTTTCTTTGCTGGACTCATCTAATGGGATTTGCCAGAAAGCGTCCTTTAAATCGACACTTGAGATAAAATAGGTATCTCCCAACCTGCTAAGCAATCCCTCAATGTGCGGGAGTGGGTAGGCATCCTTGACTGTCAGAGCATTGAGCTTACGAGCATCCAAGCAGAGCCTATTTTTGTCGCCCTTTCTGACTAGAGTGACAGGATGACTCCAAGGACTTTCACTCGGCTCAATGACTCCTAGATCAAGCATTCTATCCAGCTCTGCGTACATGAGCTTTTGTACAGCTGGGGATACAGGATAGTGTCTACTTTTAACTGGAGTTGCGTCACCTGTGTCGATCGTGTGGACCTCAGACTTAGTCCGGCCTAAGCCTTGTGTTGAATAAGAAGGAAATCTTGCTATTATCCCATCCAAACGTTTCCGTTGTGGATCAGACAACTTATGAACAGTTCTGTCATCACTGGTTCCACTATCAGCCTCATCACAAAGACTGACGCCGTTGGTGGTGAGACTCTCAACAGACGCAAACATTTTAAAGGTTTTCATGAAGTCAATTCCAAGGAAGAGTTGTCGGTTAAGTGTAGGAACCAAAAAGAAATCTATTGGGTGAGTCATATTATTGAAGGTAATATCTGCACGGATTTTCCCGGTTATCTTGTGTGGACTTCCATCTGCAGTCTTAACAAAAGAAAAGAAATCTTGAGGAGTTAAACCAATTTTTCCTACCAGATCTAGACAACCCTTACCTAAACAAGATACTGTTGCTCCACTATCAAGAAGACCCTCAATTTCTTCGCCATTAATGTGAATTTTGGTGTAAAATCTTGAATCCTCACCTTCATATAGGGTAGCAGCTGCAATTTCCTTTCTCAATTTCCTTCTCTTTTTGTATCTTTCTCTGGCCCGTTTTACTTTATTGGATACTACACCAAAAATTCTCGATCTAGCTTCTTCGTATTCCTTTTTCCTTACGTGTAATGGTTTCAAAACTCGTAATATCGGCTTCTCTTCATTCACCCTCTTGTTTTCGTTGACTAATAAGATTACCTTCTTCGCGTTACACTTTCCCTCTACTGTTCCTGCTGGGACTCCGTCTGGGTGGAGCGCGCCTCCCCAGTTCGAGGAACGCTCCGATTCAAGTTTCCCTGGCACCTTGGACATTTTGGGGAAACTACTCCCTCTCTTCCGCACTTGAAGCAGAACACCTTTGATATGGGTACAGGGCAATCAATGTAACTATGACCAACCTTTCTGCAATTCCAACACGTGTAGCGGTTGGACACTGCTAAAGCGTCTACGTCCAATTCAGATTCGGCCTCTGTGTATTCTAGTTCGTGTACCTTCTGTGGTTGAAACGTTCTTTGCTGGTATGCTTGTCTTTGTCCAGCTACCATCAATTCAGCCCGTTTGACCTCCTGCCGAAAATGGTTCAACCCTTTAATTTGAATGGGGAAAATAAGAGAAGCAAGTGATGATTTTAAGTTTCCTTTCATGATCTCTACCAAGTCGTTTTCATTATATGGAGATCGCTGTTGGTTTCTCATTTTGAGCACGGCATCGAAAAACTCATCAAATGTTTCATTCGGCATCTGACGACGACCCATAATTTCTTTTTGAATTTGAAATTCATTCTGGTACCGACGAAATTGGGCTAAAAATGCCTCCCTCAACTCATTCCAGTGCCTAAACGGGGCAATTCGTCGTTGCTGCCAGTACCAACTTTCGGCACTACCCTCAAGTAACTGTGGGAACTCTCTGAGAAGTTCGTCAAATGGATAACCATAGTCTTGCCTCGTAGACTCCAAACAGAATATAAAATGTTCAGCATCTGCGTTTTTCTCACTGCCATTGAAGCGCATTCCCCAATCTTTAACTTTGTATTTTCGATTGCTACTTTGTTGAGCTGCATTTCCGTGATGGGATGATGCATTTGACGGCTTCTGAGGCCTCATTTCTGTTGTATTCCCCGTATATTCTTGACCTCTGGTATCCACTGCAATGATAGGATTGTTATTCTCGGCTCCTGATGCCTCATTTCGGACTGCCTGCGATGGAGGAGGTTCCCTAATTCCGTGCCTTGATTGAGTGTTTTCTACAGATGTCGGATAACGTGTTAGTGGTGGTGGCGCACGCGTTACTGAAGCTATAGCTGGAGTCTGTATCCCCGCTGCGTGTTCAGCCGAAAAACCTTCCTCGGTGGAATTTCTCACGGTTGGCCGTGCTTGCTGTAGATCACGCTGAACCTGTCGAATCACTTCAACACTGCGCATCAGTTGAGCTTGTGCTAACCCAATGGATGCCATCATTTCCTGCAGATTATTAGCCTGGTTGAATTCCGATCTATAGTCTCCATTCCCCTGTCGAAATTCTCGCCTTACGTTCTGAGCGGTCAAACTTGAAAATGCTGGAGAAAGTATAGTATTATTCAGTTCATCCGGACTGATCGATGCATCGCTGCCAATCGACGGAGCGCTTGACGATCTGACAATGCCTCCCGTTCCAGTGTTGGTTTGCAAAGTTGGTGGGTTGGTCGTAGGAACTTGAGTTTGCGTGTTCTGTGCCCCTACCCTTGGCTCGGAATTAACTGCTTCTTCGTTGTTTTCCATATTATTTTGCTGTAGCTTACTCCCACTTCTAGTCAAAACCATTCCAAAATTTATAGAAAACTAATAACAGTGTTCCTAAGAAATATTAAAAACAAAAACTAAAAATCACGAAAACATATATACTAGTAGTAATGCTTCTACTTCTGTCGAAGTAGGAAAATAATGATGTATTAAATAATATCAAAAAGTCTTTCAATATAAAATAAGGTAGGATTTTAGGTGACGGCCATTAGAAGAGTAGATGTTACTTTCAGATTTAAAAGAAAGAAGGTAAACAAAATAATTACCTCCTGCAATCCTGTGCTTTAACTTTTTATACTGTGGATATGGAAAATGTGGTTTAACAACCTAGTGACATCGAAAGAAATCTCGTTGACTATACTATGAGTGTTTCTGTCTAAGAATTGACTCCGGACAACAAAATTCCTTTCGAATACAAAATGATTGTTAAAAATTACTATTGCAATGAAAAACTAATTGGATGTGACCCAAAAACTCCACACAATCGTGGCAATTAAATGCGTTGTGTTACTAACACTGGCGATAAGACCTACGATTATATGTAGCATAAAGGTTTGGTGATTCAATATTAAATCTCCACCTCACGACCCCGATTTAGAAAACTTTAGGTCGGGACTGAGATTTTAGCATTGGACCGTGATATTGAAAATGAAGAAATATCGTTCAAAATGTATACTATTTAATCCTAGTGGCAGCCGTGAGGACTCTATGAGCTACTCAAACGGGACCTACTTGCTTTAAATAATATATGGCTACAATTATATTTTGCTTTCATCTCGGGCCCCACGTTATGGGCGCCATTTTTGTCACGTACTACCGTCAGTTGATTTCACATAATTCCTATTTTCTAGCAAACATCGTCATTGCTGGCATGCTGGCTTTTTGCACGGCTAGTGCTCGCCGGATGGGGGTGGTTCTTGACGACATTGACTAGGTTGGCAATACGTGGAACAAAAAAAATTATCATGCCAGACTGATCAAAATTTAAAAAAAAGGTATTCCGAGCCCGAGAGAAATAGTAAACTATTAATGACTTTTACCACAGCATAAATAAGAAAAAGCAACCAGTTATATGGAAAAAAAATCATGAAAGTACTCGGCAGGTGTTAAACCGAGCTCTTCCCTCCCACTGGAACACTTGTTCCACCTTGGCAATCAAAACATGTTCATATTGTCCCCATACCTACCTCTTCTTTGGCACGTCACCCTCCTAACCTTCAATTAAATTTCCTTATGGAGAAGACATTTTAATTCATATCCATCGTTATAATTTTATTTTTAATTCAAGTTTCTTAATTTTAAATACCATAAATCGTGGATCATTTTAACTTTGAGATTCACATGGTTAAAAAGGTTTTTACTAGTGCAAAGAGTTTTTACTAGTGTAAAATATTCGAAAATCGTAAGTATTATAATTTTGAGCGTTGTACATAATAACGAAACTTAGGTAAGTACCACTTTTGGGGATTTATTTAATAAATTTAATGTAAGATGGCTGCTCTTCTTTTTTTTCCCAGGGATGCTGAACAGAGGTCCTATGATAGCGGTGTTTGCTGGCAATTGAGCTTATTATCGTCAGTTAATCTCGTAAGTATGGGTGTTGTATTTTTGTTTTATAGTTCAAACCCTGAATAAAAAGTTTTCTTCTATTTTAAGTGGAGTAAAAACAAAGGGACAACATTAAGCTTTTGTGAATGGGAGCAACTAACTCCTGGTGATAAATTACCTGTCCTACCTGCCTAGAGAGAGCTCTATCTATTCGGAGAGGATATGAGAATAAAAAAATTCGAATAATAATGAAAACAAAAGGAAATGTCTACCCTTAAGGCCACGTGTTTTCTATACCCTTTTATTCCAGGTTTATGGGCTGTCCGTCCGTCGAAAGTAATTATCAATAAGTTTGGAGGTAAGTAATGAGTTAAAGTCAATAGCTCGTTTTACACCATATCAGTTTTATATTCTTTTATTTTTAGGTACCTCAGCACCGCGGAATGCCTGGTGCTCAACAGCGGATCCAACGATGAGCAGAGGAGTCGGGATCGGTGGTCCAAATATCGTTAGCGATGCTGGCAAAAGTGTTTGGTGCTGTATTACTTCCTTTTGTTCAACAGTTATTGAGGTTTTTTTTTTTAATGCAATAAAGGCAATAAATAGTTTTAAAATTTTGTTTTGTGAAATTTTGTTTTACACCGATTGTATTTAACGTTGGTAAAAACTTTTACTATTTTCTTATTGCCCGATCCACTTCCTGCTGCCAAGAACTCCAGAAATAAAAAGAAAGAACCTTGAATATTTTACATGGCTTATTGTCTCCCTATTTCCAATATGTTTTCCACATTTAAAATTTCCCTTTTTGAAATGACAGGATAAACAAACCATATGTCACTTGGTGTGACAGACAAAATTATATGAGTTTCTGTATGTGGCGTATAGATGGCGTGAGTACGCACATGACAAGCTTTGTACAGCCGACGACTGCGTGGGTCTCTTTGCAGCAGGTTGTTTTTCCTCCGAGGATCTCATTCTCTTGACAGCCGTGTGCTGTGGTCGAGATTTGGCACCAGTGGTTGCCAAATCTAGGGGCGCCATTCTCGCCTCTTCGGCCCAGGGATTATAGGCACTCGGTCATTTCCTCCGAGACTCTTGCCCATCAGTAAATAAATGAATTTTGGAATATAGGGTAAACGCACCTCATTCCGGCATGTACCAATAGTCGACATATGTTTTATAGAACTTCGAATAACTAAAAAATCCTATAACTAAATTTGAAAAATTCCTTGAATAATCTTTAATAACACTGCAACCTATCTCTGTATAAAATTTAATCGAGCTAAGTACATTTTTTCAGTCAAAATTTGACATTTGGTCAATGAGTTTTGTCAACACTAGCGATAATTCATGTTTCTTAAGAAAAAAATTAGTGGACATGTCGATTTTAAAAGACTATAGGTGAGTCTGGTTACTTTTCCAGTAACATTTATTCAGTAAGTTATAGTTCAGAGAGTAAGCCCTTTTTACTCTCTTTTGCGATAACATTTAGTAAGATTTAGCAAGATGCACCAAAATAAACAACCAAACAAAGGCCGGTTCTATGCACCGGATTGACTCGGAGGAGTCAACTTCCGACCAAGGGCTGTCAACCCAGCAAATACAACGTGTATTTTTTCAACTTAGGAGCATCATTACCCGGAATGTTTGCTCCGGATTCTTTTGGTTCGTGCCGGGAATAAGACAAACCCCAGACCATGGTTCTGCTCAGTTTGTCACAACAGCATCCACCACAGATCTATCTCGGTGAGATGCAACGGATGCAGAGAATGGGTACATTTCAGGAGTTGTTCCGGCCTTAACCGGATACAGGAGTATAGTGAAAGGGACTACGTAGATTCATTCTGCGCCAATGCAGTCCCCAGCAAGTTGTCGTCATCACCGTGGTCCACGTCATCATCTTCGGATTACGTGACTCCCCCGCAATCTCCGCAGCAGCAACCTGCGCCGCAGCCGCTAACACCGCACATTGCTGTCGCAACTCCTGATAACGTATCCTTTCTTCAATTCAACTGCGATGGACTTCGAGGGAAAATCAACGAAATAGTGGATTTTATGAGTCGAAGAAGTATTATTGTCGCTGCGATCCAAGAAACGAAGCTGAACAACACCTGCAGTCATCAGAGTTGTGATGGATACAACGTGATTAGAAAGGATCGTACAAGAGGTGGAGGATTAGCATTCCTATTGCACCATTCTTTCCAGTACAGACCTATCTCGCTTGAGCTAGACTCTAGTGACCCATACATGGAATGTATGGGGGGTAGCGGTCAAATGTGTTACCGCCGAGGTAGAGGTGCTTAACGTTTATATTCCACCGTTAAATAGCTGTGCCCCGCGTTATTTGCCTGACATTAGTCATCTTTTGGAAGGCAATAACCGTCTGGTGCTAGGGGATTTCAATGCACATCATGAGTTATGGCATTCCGTCCTAGGTAATGACCAGAGGGACATGGCGCTGGCCGAGCAAATCGATTTTATAAATTCTGAACGCCGTACTTTCCTTAATCATGGGAAAGCCAATTGATAAGAGTTCAGAAATTTCACCAATCGTCGCTTCAGAGAACTGCCCATCTCTTCTGATGCTCGGGAAGCAGAAAGGAATTTCCGGGACATCATCACTGCTGCAGCCGCTCGCTATATACCTGCGGGTCGTATACCCGAACTAAGACCTAACTTCCCAGCAGAGGCAGCGGGACTAGCGAATGAGCATGATGAGCTTCGCCGTTCTAACCCTACTAACCCCAGAGTCAGAGAACTGACGTTGGAAGTGAACAGGTTAGTCGGCGAGCATAAGCGGAAAAAATGACTAGAACATCTGAAGTGTTGCAACATCAGTACCGGAGTGAGTAAATTGTGGGCAACGGTTAAGTCGCTCTCGAACCCTGGAAAGAAGGAAGATCGGACTTCTGTCTCATTTAACGGCGTTGAGGTGACAGATCCGAAGAGGTGCACGTGTTATTTCAACCGGCAGTTTATAGAGCACCCCGAGAGTGACCGGACGAAGAGAAGAGTATTGCGCCGTATACGCTCTCTTCAGGTGGAGGAGGAACCACCACAATTTACGTTTGAGGATGTTGCAAATCTCATCAGGAACGCGAAATCATCCAAAGCGCTTGGTCCAGATGGAATCTCAATGATGATGTTGAAGCAGCTTGATAATCCAGGAGTAGATTATCTCACTAAAGCCCCGGACTTGTCATTATCCACCCTAGTAGTTCCCGATGCCTGGAAAATGGGCAGGGTGGTCCAGCTAATGAAGCCTGGCAAGGATGCCAGCAAAGGTGAGTCATACAGGCAGATCTCACTTTTGTCGCCAGTAGCCAAGACACTTGGGGCTTTACTACTCCCCAGTATTCGTGAATGCTACTCAGTTGCCGAATATCAGCATGGGTTCCGGAAACAGCACAACAACAGCTTTGCACGCCATTTCCGCACACATAGCAGAAGGACTCAACCAGAACAGGCCGTGTAACAGGACAGTCATGGTGGCGCTAGACCTATCGAAGGCATTTGATACCGTCAGTCACGCCAAGCTGTTCGAGGACATCGAGAGAACAACCCTCCGGCCAAGTTTGAAACGATCATAAACTATATGTGTGGACGCCAGTCGTACGTGGAATTCAGAGACAGGAAATCGAAGGCCCGTAGAGTTAAACAGGGAGTTCCCCAAGGAGG